TGCCGCGACACAACGCTCTGTACAGACTTCTCGTGAAGGTAGAGTTCTTCTAGCATCTCGCGCGCTTCAGAAAAACGTGTTGTAAGCCAGCGCCAAGCTGCTATGCTATACGACGCTCCACGAACAACGCTCCGACGACGCCTCCGCGGTACCAAGCCACGATCAGAGACAGCCTCCGTCAATCGCAAGCTATCAGCTGTTGAAGAGCAGTCTCTTGTTCAATGGATCATAGAGCTAGATCGACGAGGCTTTCCGCCCCATATTATCGACGTGCGACGGATGGCAGACGCTCTACTCGCTGCGCGTGGCCAAGATCCACCTCCACAGCCTATTGGCAGATGCTAGGTGTCGCGCTTTATCTAGAGCCAGCCAGAGCTTCAGACAAAGTGGACTAGACGATTTCATAGTCAGCGCGCCTCCTGCGAAGATCCTATCGCGATTACAGCCTGGTTTAAGCTAGTAGAGGAGACGCGCCAGACGTACGGCGTCCTAGACCAAGACATCTACAACTTTGACGAGACTGGATTCGCAATAGGCGTCGCTAGCACGTTAAAGGTAGTCACAAGCTCTAATAGAGTTAGCAGAGTGGTTGCTATATAGCTAGGCAATCGTAAGTAGGTTACGACAATTAAGTGCGTTAACGCGTCTAGCTAGTGTCTACCACTATTTGTGATACTGTCTGGCAAGGCCCACTAGAGTAGCTAGTACCTTAATCTCCCACTAGACTAGGTTATCGGCGTTTCCGACAACGGCTAGACGACTGACCAGCTTGGCGTAGACTAGGTGAAGCATTTCAACTAGCATACAACGGCTCGTACAGCTGGAGTCTATCGGCTTCTTATTCTAGACGGCCACAGCAGCCACGCTACCCCAGAGTTCGACCAGTACTGCGCCGAGAACAAGATTATTACTCTCTGCATGCCGCCTCACACGTCGCATCTTCTCTAGCCGCTTAATGTAAGCTGCTTCTTGCCACTCAAGCGGGCGTACGGACGTAAGATCAAGAAGCTCGCCCGCTAAGGCGTCTACCACATTAACAAGATAGACTTCCTTACAGTCTATCAACAGATCCGGCCAACAGTATTCACGCAGCAGAACATCTAGGCAGGCTTCCAGGCGACAGGCCTTGTCCCTCCTTGTCTAGATCGCGTCCTATCGTCGCTTACAGTAGCTAGGACACCGTCTCCACCACAGACAACTACAGACAATAACGCCGCTATACAGACAGTAGCAGCGCAGACAGAGACGCCATAAACAGTAGCAGAGCTTTAGTAGAAGGTGCGCTATCTCCAAGAGCGGCTACGCCAGAGATTAGAGAGCCTAACAAGCGTTATAATACGCTAGCTTGCTCAAAGCGCTTAGCTTGCAATGCAAATAGTAATAATACTTACAAAGGAAATTAAGAAGCTGCGTAAAGAAAACTAGCGCCAATAATAAAAGCAAAAGCGGCAGCGTTAATATATCGCTTCTAGTAGGGTGCTTTAGGTCTAACAGGCTTAGCAGATTATTGCAGAGGCAGAAAGGGTGGTGATAGGGGGTGACTAGAACCAGACTAGCAAGCGACGTTAGCGCGCGCCGCCAACGTGCACGAAGTGCTACGTTTAAGGACATACTTAGACTTTATGTAAAGCTAGATAAAGAATAATATCTTTTAATTTAATTTAATTTTATTAAGTTGCTGTAGAGCAATTGAGTAAAGCGTCGCGTCAGGTTTGGTGGGGTGGGCTACTTACTGATGTGGGCCGCTTACTGATAAAACACGTTATACCTACAGTAGCGGGTCAGCTAACGCCCCGGGTCACTCAACGCCCGGGCAACAACACAACAGCTTCATGAGTATTGCAGCTGTAACGCCTCAACCAAACGTGATAAAATTGCGCAAAAGTAGATTTATACTATATAATAGCCTATAAAGACTTTGCGCTAGTCTAAAACTTTTTTTGGGCGGCGGATTACCCGCGATTTAGTGGTTTTAGGTGGAACTAGTTGTGCAGCCACCTAAGCACCCATAGAAGCTATACCACCTACAACACCTTTCTAACGCTTTGTAGCTGGCTTATGAGGTTTTAAAGCTTTGCGCTTACCTAATTAGGGCAATTGTATAGCTTTGGCAGCGTCGCGGAGGCTTCTACGATGCTCTCTTTCGGCTTTCTCTTCGGCCTTCCGCTTTCTGGTCTCCTCCCAACCCTTCTCCCGCTCAACACGCCTCGCAGCTTTAAGTTGAAGCTCACACTTATGAGCTGCTTTGCTTGCCTTAGCTTACTTGGCTTTTTAAAGCTTTTGAAGCTTAGCTTGTTGTTGTTGTGATGCCTAACGATCGCGAGCTCGTTGTACACTCCTGGGCGACCATATTTTAGCTCCCCTATAGTAAACCTCGTCCTCATTAAGCTAGAGGGTGAATGAATGCTTTAGTCGCCTCTCCTTGATGGATAGGGACTGCCTAAGGCCCCTGACCTCCTCTTGGAGTATACTATTTTAAGCTGAGATGTGGCACAAGCTTTATTGAAGCTTCTTGACGTCCTTACTACCCTGATCCTTCACCTTACGGCGTACGATTGATTTAAGCTTAAGCTAATCGCTCCCCAATAGTACTAAGTTGCTGCTGTCAGAGTCTGAAGCTTGCTTGGCAAACTTCTCGAGTACAACGTCTAGGTTAGCTGGGTATATACTAGTGGCTTTAAACGACTTTTTGATGAGTGAAGGTTTGAATACGTTACCCTAAGCCCTCTAGAAGAGCGGGAAGAAGTCTCCTTTAGTTAAATTAAGTAACCCCTGGCTGTCCTGGAGGTATCCTATTAACTAAGTTGAGTAAGCGTTCGAGAGGGGTTTAAACATACAAACGTCGAGGGGTTAAAGCGTATAAGTAGCGTGAGGGGGTAATACAAACAAGAGGATCTTGTTGTTGTTATAATACTCAATAAAATCCATGGTTACGTGGGATCCGTGGCCGTCAAGGAGTAGTAATCGATACCTAGTTGAAGCATGCCGTCTGGTTTCTCTTTCAAACACCTGTTTGAGCCACGATAACCTAATATCGTTGTTGGTCCAGCTAGAGGGTGATGACGTAGTAAATACTGAGTGTTCTCTGGCTTGTATAGCTTTAACCTAGCTTAATTGAACAGCTTTGTTAGCTCCTTGGAAGATAAGAGTTGGACTTAAAGCGCTCCTATCTAAACAAATACAAGCCACAACCGTTATCCACTCGCTAGAGCCATCTTTACGGGGTTGCCTTACCTCTTTTAACTCGTATAGCTTCTTATTAAATACACGATTTGTTCTGCTAACCTAGCTAAGTTGAAACCCCTTTTCGTCTATATTGAATATATGTATTGGTTGGACGTTGTACTCCTCTATTTTTTCATGTAACAGCTTGAAGTATAAGCTGTACTTAGGTCCTGAATTAGCTCTGGTCCGCTCCTTGGCCATAGCTTTGCCCGATCAAGAGATGAGATGGTTGGGATGACGGCGGAGAAACCGCTTAACCCAGGTTTCGGAGACCGGTTTGCCAGCTAACTAGCTAGCAAACTGCTGTACTATTACTTTTGTAGGCGGCAAACGTCGTTTAGTAAGCGTTTCGATATATCGTATAAGCTCGGCTTCGCGTTCTAGGTGTAGGGATTGTTGGGAGACTCCGCGCTAGTTGTGCACACCCTAGTGCCTTTGAGCGAGCGTACTGCGCTTAACACTAAACTGGGCAGCAACTTTTGTGTACGAGAAGTCATCTCCTGGCTTGTGCGATTCGATATATTCAATCGCTTCTTGAATCGGATCCATATTGGTGGAGTTGTGACGCGTTGAAGTTTTGTTGTTATGGTGTTGGGGCGGGGCGTTAGCTGACCCGGGGCGTTAGCTGACCCGCTACTGTAGTGCTTATTAATCTACGTAATCACTACTGTGTTCCACTAGTAAGCTGCGCACCCCAGTAAGCTGCGCACCCCACCAAATCCTCACAACTCTATCTGCGCCAACGACCATGACTCAACAACCACGGCCTAAGGTGACATCTCGTGAAGGTAGACTAAGTCTCGCGATGGTCTCCTATCAGAATAAACCATGCCAATCAATCCGAGCCCTCGCGAGAGCGTATGACGTACCAGAATCTACTCTCCGGACGCGTCTCCGTGGTGTCCACCCGCGATCAGAGATAGTCTCTGTCAACCGAAAGCTATCAACTACTGAAGAGCAGTCTCTCGTGCAGTGGATCCTAGACCTTAATCGACGAGGCTTTCCACCCTATATAATTGATGTACGACGCATGGCAGACGCTCTACTCGCAGCCCGCGGCCAAGATCCAC